CGAATGGTACTTACCCAGGACTCCCCATGTGCCAACATCTGGCCCAAGTCTTAGGCATGGATCTGTACTTTGGTTTTATTCTTACTGAGTTGAAGTTATTCATTTGGTGAAACTCAGGGCTTCTAATTCTATTACCTTAACCTCTTAATTACTCTCTGAGTCTTAGCTCTCTGACTTGATCATCTGTCTTTCACCCGCCTCTAGAACTTTTTACTTTTTAAACTTTACTCTCTACTTTAAAAGCCACCGCAGGTATCTACAGTATTTGGTGCACTCTTCTTCGCGTGACATGGGAGAGAAGTTGTGGTACAGGGCACCAGGTAGGGTCACCCCCTACAATCAGACCGCCTGGGTTCAACCTGTTCCCCCATCTAACAGATGAGCGACCTTGGGCAGGCTCCTTGCAGTCAGCTTCAGTGTCTGTTGATGGGATAAAAATAACTTTGCACTGAGTTACTCTTTTGACTTGAGTAGATTAAATGTGTTGATTCACAAAAAGCCCATAGAGCAGTGTGTGGCATGTAGTAAGTGCCCCCCAATACCGGCCGTTGTCATCATCCCTACCACTGCTATTTCTGACCAGCCTTCACTGATCTTGTCCCACCCCTGAATGTGCCACGAACTTGAGATTTGGGGGCCTTTCACTCACAATTCCCTCTGCCTGGCCACATTGCCCTGCATGCTACCCACATCTCTTTTCTCTGGTAAACCTCTGCCTGTCCTTAAAGATCTAGGTCAGGGACCTCTCCTCTTTGACGCCATCCTCCCTCCTATAAGAAACTGGTGTTCTCCAACACGTTCACATAGTTCTTTTGATACCTCTGGGCTGTGGCACTCACCGCTCTTTTTTAAGGTGGTTTATCTCCTTTTGGGCACACCGAGACACCTAGGGTTCCCTTTTCTTTTAAACTGAGAATCTCTCCTGGGGGCAGCACAGATTTACTATGTCCATCCCAGTTCCTTCCAGTCCCAGGCATGCAAAAGGCACTTGGTAAATGTTTGCTGAACAAATAAATATTTGCTGCCCTATATTTAGTCTTAAATACAGGTTTTTTTCTCTTTTGTTTGGTTTTGATTTTTGCTCTTCACGGTGCATTACTAAATTTGTAGTGAGAAAGACAAATCTCGGTAGCTGAAAATGCTGGCTGAAGTGATTGTACCTAACACCGTAGTCATTCGGCTCTGTGGGCTGTTTTTTATTAGTCATTTTAAAAGACTGTCACAGGGTAGGTCTGGAGACAAGAGATCATCATTTAAATCACAGTGCTTTCAACTCATCCATGGTTTTGGTCTACAATTTAATGATGAGAAAAATACATCTAGAAAGTAAATATTTAACTAAACGTTTTGGTCCCTGACCTGAATACAGAGTGACATGGGAATCGTAAATGCTAAGATATAGTTACAGCAGCTCATCCCGATATTCTACCTGTAGAAATTAACATTGTACTTTCATAACGTAATAACAAAGCCTTTCTTCTCCTATTAGAGACATCATATTACCTCATAGGGTATAAGTAAAAGATTCACAAGCGAATGTAGTTTAGAAGGAGAGAACACTGCCTCCTTTGAATACGAGCACTTGCTTTGCCCGATAGTTCATGTTTTCTGTGCTGCTCTGGGTCATTTAGATTATAAAGAGCAAAGCCCTATTCAAACTAGCGAGAGCAGAGCTTGGGTAAGGGTTTACTTGAGAGAGAAGGAAGGCAGAGCTCTCGCAGTGATCCCAGGGCGGGAATGTCCCTAGAAGCTGGCCTCGGAGGGACCAGAAGATGGTCCAGGCTCCTCCTCTCATCTGCGCACCTTTCGTGGGCTGTGTTCTCTCTCTGGCATTTGCTTCCCATTGTCTCCTCTCTGCCATCTCACTTCCTTTTCTTGTCCTTATTTTCTTAACGCTTCACTGTGGCATTAGCACCTCCAGGGCTTCAGCTGGCCGCGTTCCCCACTCCACAGGGCGTCTTCTCAGTTTGTGCCCCTGTGCTAACTGGCTCTTCACCTCTGAGGACTCGGTTATGCTCCTGGGGGAAGATTCCTAACTGGCTAGCTCTACTTCTCTCCCCGCCCCTGCCAGGAATAGAATTTAATGATTCAACACTTACACATAACACCCAGTGCTCATCCCAACAAGTACCCTCCTTAATGCCCATCACCCAGTCAGCCCATCCCCCCACCCAATTCCCCTCAAGCAATCCTCATTGTATTTAAGAGTCTGTTATTTAAGAGTCTGTTATGGTTTGTCTCCTTCTCTGTCTTTATCTTATTTTTCCTTTCCTTCCCTTCCCCCTATGTTCACCTGTTGTGTTTCTTAAATTTCACATATGAGTGAAATCATATGGTATTTGTCTTTCTCTGACTGATTTATTTTTCTTAGCGTAATACCCTCTAGTTTCTTCCATGTTGTTGCAAATGGTAAGATTTCATTCTTTTTGATTGCTGAGTGATACTCCAATGTATGTATAAACCACATCTTTTTTATCCGTTCATCAGTTGATGGACATTTAGGCTCTTTCCTTACTTTGGCTTCTATAGATAGTTGGCTGGCTCCACTTATGGTACCAGATCACAGGGCCCAGGTTGCTGAACTCAGTGGCTGCATCTATCTTCGGTGTCTTACCCTCGTCCAATCAGCTGTGGTCCTGGGGTGCAGCAGGCTCAAAGAGTGGCTGTCTAGAGAAGACCTTGCAAACTCATATGAGGATTAAATGAGTTAGTAAAGTGCCTGACACACAATGAACAATTTGTGAGCTGTTTTCAAGTTAGTTCCTTTTATTTTTTTTTTTTTAATTTTTTTTTTTCAACGTTTATTTATTTTTGGGACAGAGAGAGACAGAGCATGAACGGGGGAGGGGCAGAGAGAGAGGGAGACACAGAATCGGAAACAGGCTCCAGGCTCTGAGCCATCAGCCCAGAGCCTGACGCGGGGCTCGAACTCACGGACCGCGAGATCGTGACCTGGCTGAAGTCGGACGCTTAACCGACTGCACCACCCAGGCGCCCCAAGTTAGTTCCTTTTAAACAACATTCTCATTAGCATCATCCTCATCACTCAGTTCCACAATGAAATGAGCTTTCTCACATTTTTTGTAAATGATAAGGCTGTTTTATATGTACTTTTTCTAGAACCAGAAGCACAGAAAAACACCTCTTTCTTGTAATGATATCAGCAGAGCAAGAAAATGATGAATGACAACTGTCAGTTGTCCTTATTGCCATGTTGGCATTGGTGGGGGGGGGGGGACCTTGGTGAACTGATGCTCAGACGCTAAAGTGTAGAGCCTTTCCCAGCTGGAGCAGATTACCATGATGTCAGAAAGAGGTCCAGGGCTGTCAGATGGATGGATGGATCAATCGATTGATCACTCTGTCTTTACAATAAGCTCAAATTATCTTTGAAACCCTGCGCTACTCAATAAAACATGTCTGCAGGCTGAATATACACAGCCCTCATGCTAGTAGCAACTTTTGTCCGTGGGCTTAGGAAGAATAGTGTGTGCCAGGCTGGTGTCTCAGAGGACTTTGCAAGTGAACCCTTTTATGTCGATGAATTAGAAAATTGTCCTTGATAAAGGCTAGCATCATGAAGCCCCTCTTGAGGACAGCAGTATGACACCGGGAACAATGTATTCTGATCCTCAGGGATAGCTTGCTGCGTGTTTCCAAGAAAAGGCATATGCCTTTGATTTTATTTTCTTAGAAAGAACAAATGAAAATAATAATATTTTTTAGTTTACCTATATAGGTCCGCTCCTGCTCTAAGCTCCTTTCCTGGAAGCGGCCGTAACCTCTCCCTTGTGCTCTGATTCGTAATTCCCACTCAGCCTACATGTTTAAAACTGAACTCTTGGGGCGCCTGGGTGGCGCAGTCGGTTAAGCGATCGACTAGCCGAGTCACGTCCGCAGTCCGTGGTTCAGAGCCCCGCGTCGAGCTCCTGTGGCTGATGGCTCAGAACCTGGGCCTGTTCCAGTTCTGTGTCTCCCTCTCTCTGCCCCTCCCCCGTTCATGCTCTGTCTCTCTCTGTCCCAAAAATAAATAAAAAAAAAAACAAAACGTTGAAAAAAAAAAAAAAACTGAACTCTTCACTTCTCACCCCTTCATCTGTACCCAGGTATTCATGTCAAACCCACTTTTTCTTTTGGTGTCTCCTCTCCTGACCCACACACGCACGCGCACACACACGCGCATGCATGCACCCACACCCACACCCATTAGTATGTCCTGTCTTTTTTCCACCCAGCAGCAAGAATTGGTCTTTTTAAAAATATGAATTAGCATGTCACTCTCCTGATTGAAGCTTGTAATTACTTTTCATTGAACTTAGAATATTATTAAACTCAGGACCCTGGCCTACCATGTGGCGGTAGCATCTGGCCCCGACCTGTGTCACGCCTCACTCCTGCTTTGTGTGAGGCAGCTCACCAAGGTTCACCCTCATTTTTGAGCACACCAGGCTTGTTCCTACTCTGCTTTCTTTGCTTTATCTGTTCCCCTTCCAGAAATGCATTTTTCCCTAGTTGTCACGTCTTCGGAAAAGCCTCTCCCTTGCTTCCGTCTGAGGCTGGTCCGAGCAAGAACCTTGTTTGTCTTGTGCTTGTTGCTAAGTGAATGAATGGCTAAACTGTGGGCCTTTGGGGGTAGGAGGGATGAGAAGAGTGTTAGAAAAAATAATCTATTCACTACAGTGCACTTATTTCACTTCAGAGGCAGAAGGGAAAAGAACAAACTTACGGAATAATGAGATTTCCTGTATCACTAATACTGTTGACTTACCCAACGTGCAAACGACCCAGAATATGAGAGGGAATTTGCTTGGGCCTGATGTGACTCTGAGACACATTAGTACTTACACATACCATTCCGAGTATTCTCGTTAAAAGGAATAGCAGAAAATCGCTGCAAAGATTGCCCCAGTTTTTAGATGGTGATCCCCTCTTTAGAGCTGTTGATTTGTTTAGTTAACAGTAATTTATTTAACATACTTCTACTTTTTGTTGTTTTTTAGGTCTGTTGCCACAGTTATTGGGAGTTGCCCCAGAGAAGGCCATAAAACTTACAGTAAGTCTTTTGAGTTGATGCTTCTTAGGAAGGGAGTTTGCATACACGCAGGAGTCCAGCAGATACTCTCATGGGAAATAGTGGGTTTGTGTTTCCTCAGAGGCGCTGGCTAATCTCAACCGAGGCCCTCGTGACACCCAGCTTCTCGCTGTCCTCCACTGAACACCGAACATCCACACATGTGATGTTGTATTTGAACAAAACTTACAGCGGCTGCTACCACCACTACCGCCACTGCCACAGCGGCAGAGGGGGCAGCACTTGCTGCTAAGTTAGTCTCGAGACCGACCATATGAGGCACAATGCGTATGATCTGCTAGTGTTTAATCTTAAGCAAAGTGTGACCCAGAGGTTAGATAAGGAAAGTGTGGTCCACGGGGTTTAAGTGTTTACCTGTGTTCACACAATTCACGAGTGGGAAGATTAGAATTCGAAGCCAGATTTTTCTGACTCTGAAGTTCAATTACATGTGCTGTTTATAGAATTCATGTGTTGGGTATATTCTCTGAGCATCTGCTGGGCCACATGTTCAGGAGTCTGAGTTCTAGTTGAAGTTGATCCTTTATCCACTGCCAGGCTCTCATGTAACAGACGGGCGATTTTCAGGAAGTTTGTGGAATGGGTGGATCCTGCCTTTCTATCACGAAGGTCATAAAGCCCCAGGAAGTTCAACTCTACTTTTAGACTGGGCTCTGTAGCCATGGTGCCTGAGATTTTTTTACTGTGTTACTGCGTGACCTTGGGACACCTAATCTTCTCTGGCTTGTAGCTTCCAAAACCATGATTGATTTTTTAAATTGCTTGTAGTACATACCAATTTGAGTAGATGATACTTAATTAATTAATGTTACTGATGTTGAGAATCCCTAGATACTGAATTTTTATTAAGCTGAAAATTCTCCTTATTCAACTTTGTCTCAGTAATGAGTTTTGTTTTAGATTAAATTTTGTTAGAAGACTTGAAAGTGATTTTTAATCAAACTCTGTGAAATAGTTTTTAACTTCTAAATCATATGGTTTTATTTTGTCCCTCATGTCAGTATGTCTCTCTTATGCTCTTGTGGTTGCCAGACATATTTACATTTTAGGCTTATAAGCCATCTCTTTTCCTTTTCCTTCTCCTTCTCCTCCTCCTCCTCCTCCTCCTCCTCCTCCTCCTCCTCCTCCTCCTCCTCCTCCTCCTCCTCCTCCTCCCTCTCCTTCTCCTTCTCCTTCTCCTTCCCTTCCCTTTTTTCTTTTCTTTTCTTAACATTTTATTTTTAAGTAATCTCTTACTTAAAGAGTAATTTCCACCCCAATGTGGGGGTGGAACTCACAACCCTGAGATCAGGAGTCACATGCTCCACCGACTGAGCCAGCCAGGTGCCCCTGGCCATCTCTCTTTCAGTTTCTTTCTCCCTGAAACATCTGGAAGATACATAGATAGATAGACAGACAGAAGACAAACTACATATGTAGTTGAGGGTACTTATCAAACTCTTACAATTCTTAATTTACTCAGTTTATGATTACTTCAGTATACTTAGAAAAAGAACATACTTACAGTTGTATATTTATGTGTGTTTAATGCCTTTCTTTGTGTTTTTCATCATCTCCCATAAATATTTTTCTTTAAGGTGAATGATTTTGTGAGGGATAAATTTATGCACAAAGATGGTTCGGTCCCACTTGCAGCAGAAATCCTTGCTGGAGGCTGTGTAAGTACCTTTTACAGAACTCTGTGTTTGAAAAGATTATTGCACATGTATATCCCCACCATGGTAACCTAACGTGGACTAAGGCTTCTGTTCAACCACAGATCCTGTGCAAGGGCAGAGCCTTCTAGGGCACGGACAACCATTCCTGAGATGGAAGGGTAAACGTTCCTGATCTTATTGCCTGTTAAGTCATGCCTGTTAAATCCATCATTGCTTTTGGTTGGTTCTGCAGTAGAGGTCATTTGTGGCAGAAGTGTTTGGCCTTTGAAAAAAATCTTTGCTAACCTTTTTCTGAAGTTAATTTGTAGCACGTTCTTTCCTCATGGCACCCTCTGCTGGGTCAGGCACTTAAATTTGTCGTTTGGAGTCAGCAGCCATAGCTCTGTGCTTTGCTTTACCTTACAATACCAGCGACTCCTCAAGCTTCTCTGTGCTTCTGGAAAAAGGACACTGGGAAAAAACTGGCTGACTGTGTTCCGCATTGTCAAAACTGCTTGGAATGAGTATTTCTTTATATGAATGAACAACCTGCATCTTGTTCTTAAGCTCTGCAAAACATGATGTCTTGTTTTATCTCATGTACAGGTTTGTTCATGTGAATGCAAATACTTTAAGTAAATTAAACTCTTCTACAAAGACTGGCACTATTTAAAGATAAGGTTGGTTAAGTAAACAGACTTTGATCACTAGGGCAATACAATATCGGTATATTTTCCATCTAAACCTATGTTTCTTGTGAGAAAGATGAGGTCATTTACTTTTTTTAATTAGCTTGTTCTCTGCAGGGAGTGGTACTCACAAAATAATCTTTTCTTGAAAATCATTGCGTTTAGATGGCAATGGCATCTAAAGGGCAAACACCTGAGAATATTGAACCTTTGTTTGGAAAGGGCTTATTGTCCTCACATTGAATGGGGGTTCCTTGAATGCAGCAGGAACTAAGAAGTCCTAGTCCTGGTAGTTCTTAAGAATTAGGTGGAATTTGGCTAGTGCCTGACTCTCTTTCTGTTTGATCACTGACCTGTCATAGACGGCCAAGTAGGATCCCCTTGTCCTGTAACTTTAGGAGCATTCAGGATGGAAAAAGGGAGGCTTTAATGTCCTAAATAAAAAGAGCACACAATAATAATCAAAAAGAATATTATTAGAAGGTGTAACAGCTACTCTTCCTGGTAAGCAGTCTTCATTTGAAACAACCATAGTGTTCATTTGAGTAACTAGATTTTCTCATTGCAAAGTGGCATGGCCACAGTCTGTCTGGCCTGGCCTCCAGGCTGGCGCACGGGACTTGAGCTAACAGGGTATTTCTGTAAGTCACATGGGTTTGCTTTTCTGAAAAAGTCAGGTTTTAAACCTGCTTAAAAAGACATGATTGTACATCTCTGTAAGAATTTAAAATGTGAAATTAATTATGTGAAACTGCTCGAGATTTTGGCAATGATCTGGAGGTTTATTTTCTTTTTAATGAAAACATTTTGCCTGCACCCGGACCTGGGTGCCGGGGAGATGGGTTGTGGCGCGTCCTGTCTGCCGTAGGTGGTCTTGTTCTCTTGTCTGTGGTCGCCCATTTTAAACCCAAAGCACAGATTGGCATCAGAAGTGGATGCCTCGTCATTGTAAAGAGGTGTAGCCCTTCTTCAAACCTGATCTAAACACGGGCTTAAAACTGGAGCCACTTGGGCTTTGCAGCTACTTAAACTCTCTGTGAAAGGAGGTCTGCCGTCCTTCATCTCAAAGGCTGGTAGACAGCGGGGTCCTCGATGTTTCAAGTCTCCCGTGTTGCTCCTGCCACCAGCGCTGCTTTAAGATGAGAGAGTTTATTTTTTGAGTAAGCAGTCCTGTAGGTAGCAAACAATCCAGACCCTTCAGATCTCTGAACAGTGGGACGGATGATCCCATCTTCAGTGTGTTTTTAAAGCAGCTGCACCTTCCCTTGCCAGCTGCGACAGCATTTTCCCATCCTTGGAGCCAGACACACACCTTAGAAAGTCCTGTGAGCTCCAAAGCCTCGTCTCTCCACCTGGGAATACAAAGGGCTTTGAAAGCTTGGGTCACGTGGCCAGTCCCCCTTCTTAGTTCACCCGAGCATGCCAGGCAATGACTTCTGAGTCCCCGGGGAGCTCCCCTTGCTTCGTTATTACTGAGAATTAGTACACATGGCTGACTTTTCACTTGTAACTGAAGCTGCTCATTTCTTTGAAGAAAGCCTTTTCTGTTTTATTGTCTGTTTTCTGCAAAAACAGGGAAAATCCGTCAGGAGGCCTTTGTCTCATTACCTTCATAGCACTTAGCAAAGCTAATAGTCTGTTTTATTATATTGTTTCAGAAAAACAACCACAATGATAGTAAATTTGGAGGAAGTTTTTGGAAGAAGAGGGAATAAAATTAATACCCTTTATTAATTTATTTTTGAAATAGTAGAATCTCTAACTGAAGAGATAAATCTTCGGTGTCATTGATATGGATAAAAGGGTTAAATCTGGCTCAATTTTTAATGTCATTGTTTGCACTGAGATTAGATTTCAGTTAAAATTTGATTTCAGTTTTCTGAGCATTTCTGTAGATTCACACTTAACGGTAGTGATATGTTCAGCACAGTTCAAGACTAAACGAAATGCTGAGCCTGGGGCTTGCAAACTCTGAGTCTGAAAAGTTCTTTGCGGTTTGTGTTTTCTCCATACCTTGGTTTTCTACAGGCTGGTAGTTGTAGGAGTTTTGACAGAGACCCAGATCCTCAGGCATCCCTGCACAAGTATATACCTTCTGTTTCTTTCCATTTTTCCCCTTCTCGGGTCACGAGCTCAGCCCCTGTAGGGGGACATGATTGGGGGTCACTGTCAGTGATGGTGGGGCTCACAGGAAATATGGCAAAGGGAAAGGGGTCTGTCACTACCCATTTCCAAGTAGATTCCCAGTGACTTTAAAAACATACTATCTCTCACCACGTTGTTATTACTGTGTTGCTGCTTAGAAATAACACAGGTAATGCCATCTGGTCTGGAAACATCCGTCCTTAACATAATAATTGTGTGTTGACTGTTTTCTCTGCATCCAGTGAAATAAGAGGATTGAAATCCTCAGAGGTCTGGGATCTTCATTTCTTGATCCTTCGATCTTAACAAGTCTTCAGATAAGGAAATGCAAGTGGTGCCATTACTGTTTTCAAGGACAATATAAAAATGATGAGTAACTTATTTGGCAGGAAAATAAATCCCCATTGAAATAAAAAGAAATGAAATAATATTCACCAGGAAAAAAAAAAAGTCAAAGGATGAACCTCTCTCTTTTAAAGCTCATAGTCAGTAAAAATTACTTGCATACCAATAGAAAATAATAGCATTCTGTAATAATTTTTAAGGAGACAAGTAAACATGCTTTTCGAACAATGGTGCTTTGACGATGGTTCCACAGTAGTCTCTTCCTGTTGAGATCCATACACATAAACACACAGATGCTGATTGGTATGTATGTGTGTGTGTGTAATATATCTAATGCTTATGGAAGTTTATATTCATTTCAAGTGACAGAAAGAATTGATGTGCTCACATCACTGGTTTTGAAAGGGATTGGTGAGATTATGACCACTGATGAAAACATGGCATGAAGAGCAATCTTAATTGCAGTCTCCTGCAATATGACCCTGACGTTGTTGCCTGTATTCCCATTGTTACCGGTGATTCCTGTATGCATATTTCTATGCCTGTATAGCAGTGTATCAGAGACCATTTTTTGAGGCAAGTTTTTATCATTCATCTTTTTTACATGACATTCAGCGGCAGTTAATCCTCACTGTTTAAAAAACAAAAAGAGGGGCACCTGGGTGGCTCAGTCAGTTGAGCGTCCTGCTTCGGCTCAGGTCATGAGCTCACACTTTGTGAGTTCGAGCCCCGCGTCGGGCTCTGTGCTGACAGCTCGGAGCCTGGAGTCTGTTTCGGAATCTGTGTCTCCCTCTCTCTCTGCTCCTCCCCTGCTCATGCTCTGTCTCTCTCTCTCTCAAAAATAAATAAACATTAAAAAAAATTTAAAAAAAAATGATACAAGACACCGATGTGCCTACCACTTAACGTAAGACATCAAATTTAACACATGCAACTGGAGGCCCTCCCATATCTGACACAATAGGTTTTCCCTCTTCCGTCTCCCAAGAGATAACCCTATCCCGAAATTGGTGATTTTCATTTCCATGCATGTCTTTATACTTTTTATAAGTGTAAACTTGAGCCGCATAAATATTTGCTTTTGGAGGCTTCATTCTGGCTCCGTGCTACAGGAGCGACTCATGATTCTTAGGTTGATGCTGTTGCATTTTTCCCACTAGCGCAACTCCTATGCTTTGCTCGCAAGAAAAGAATATATTGTAAATGGGGATATTCTATTCAAATGTTGTCATGTGGCATACAGTGAGTATGCCTGTTACAGATGTGTGGATTTACATGATTTTATACAGCTATGATTGGAACAGTGTATTTATTTAACCAATTTTTTGTAACTTGGAGTTTCTTCCCTAAAGTCCTTTCTTCAGTCTCACCATTTAAACTGCTGCCGGACACTAAGTAGGTTTAAAATGATAACCCTCCCCACTGCCAGCACACATGCTCCCTGTGTGCCTTACTGCCCTCACTTCTTGCCTCCTTCCTAGTGGGAATCATATTAGTGTTCGTGAGGAGGACAGGCGCTCTGGTTATCTATTGCTATATAACAGGTCATCCTGAAACTTCTTTTATTGTCGCACATTTCTGTGGGTTGACTGGGTTCAGCTGGGTGCTTCTCATTTGTGATCTCCATGTGATATAGCTGCAGATAGCAGCTGGGGCTGCAGTCATCTGAAGGCCTGACTGGGATGGATGTCCAAGATGACCCCCACTTGTGGCTGGTAATGATGCCAGCGAGGCTGTTGTCCAGAGCACCGAGTGTGGCTTCTCTGGGTAGCTTTGGCTTTTCAAACCTTGACGGCTTGATTCTAAGCAAGTGCTTCCCCAAAGTAGGCATGCTAAGAATCC